CTGCGGGCCAGGATTTCTGGGAGTTGAAGTCAAAGAACATCTGGAGGCCCACGGTTGGGGACCACTGATTTAAAGAACAAATAACAACCCTTCAAACTGAGAAGAGGTCCTTAAAAAGGAGCAAACCAGTCCCACACCGGAAAATGGGCAAGAACATCAAGGCCAAAGACATGTGCAACCAGGAAGGCAGGAAAATCCATTTAACATCCCCCCAACCCCGCAACCATCACTCAGTATTGCGGAGGTTAAGCGGAAAGGTCCGGATGTGTTGATCCATAGGGAAAGGAACATGGTTTCCCCCACTTCTGGTGACCCCTGATTATACAGTCCAAGAACATCCGGAGCCGCCTAGAGTGGTCGTATAGACCAGATGGGCACAAATCAAATCAAATAAATAAATAATAAATCAATCAATCAATCAATCAATCAATCAATCAATCAATCAAACAATCAAACAATCAAACAATCAAAATATGTTAAATAACCTGTAAGACTTACCTCTAGCCTCAGATGGGGCAAAAAAAGTTTCCCTCCTCGGTAGGAGCCCGCCCCACCAACCCTCCTGGTCACTTACCCTCAAACCACGAGCAATCCTCCTCCTGAGTCCCATGACTCCAAATGTTTGCGCTGAACCACTGGCAAAACAAGAGAGGCTGGCAGCACCTCCTGTCAGCAGCTTGGCCAGTGCGCAAATGACCAGTCCCCCTGGGGTCTTGTGTGACCTGGGCACACCTCAGTCCTGGGGACAATGGGCCAGTATTCTGTGACCTGGGCATCGCCGTGGCAACCCCCAACAAACAAGCTGCCTGATCCAGCAGAGCTGTCAGCCCCCTGACTACCCCATTTCCCTGAAAATAAGACCTAACCTGAAAATAAACCCTAGTAGGATTTTTCAGAAGGCTCCTCATAGAAGCCCTACCCCCAAAATAAGTCCCAGTGAAGGGAAACCCTGCCCTCCACCCTTGTGCAGCAACCAGAAAAAGAAGACATGACTGTATTTGACTCAATGTAGATGGTTGTACATGAAAGATAAAATAAAACATCCCCTGAAAAATAAGCCCTAATGTGTGTTTTTTGGAGTCAAAATCAAAATAAGACCCTGTCTGATTTTCGGGGAAAAACTGTAGTAGAAAGACTCTCATTGGCCACCCCGACCTAAAGTTGCCCAAAGCTGAAGTTCCCTTCACACAAACACCAAAGCCCACCTCCCTCTCCTCCCCTCCTCACTTTGTTCTCCTTTTTCGCCTTTTCTCCCAGACCCTTTTGGAAAGTAAATCCCCAGCATCTCCTAGAATGGACGTTCCTGAGACAGCCGGGCCTTATCCTGAGTATCAGGTCTGGGCTGAGAGGGGCCCTCTTTTTATTCCCGCCATGCTTGCCAGGGACCAGAGAGGGTCTTCCGAGTTTTGGGGGAGGCGAGACCGTCCACCCAGCTGGTCAGGCGTCCTCCAGGAACGCCCGGCTCCCTTTGGTTCTTTGCGAAGCCATTCGGGAGATGCTTTCAGAATATCCCAACAGAATTGGAGGAGTTGTTAAAAAAGGGCAACATTTCCAAGGTCTAGTTTGAATTGCTGATCCTCTGGACGCCATGGATTTGTCTGAGGGCACAAGTACAGACGAGGCAGTATTAGAACGTTTGGACGCTTCATTGAAAATAGAATTACTTCAATTCGGCAGGAGAATTTTACATGCAGACTAAAGGGTTGGCAAGGGGATGTGCCGCAGTGCCTGGTCTGGCTAATTGGTGTGCGGCTGATCTATAAAATAACACTGTGTGCAACTCTGAAAAACGTCCCTTCTATTCAGAAACAATTCTTCCAAAATGTTACATAGATGATCTTTTGGTGGGTATGGAACTAGGCACTTAATGACTTTTGCAACTGGATGAATACAGTCGAAGGAGATATCCAATTTTCATATCCAACAGACAAAACTTGTTTACTGTTTCTAGACACTGTTGTATTAAAAACATGTGCAAATTAGCAGTTGATGCATTAAGAAAAGTATGGATGCAAGTTCCAATCCACACTTTAGGGCATTTCACCCGCCCCAGCTGAGAAGGAACCTCCCTATCAGCCCCCACCCCTTGCTGAATGATTCCTTCCTCTTCTCTCCCCCAATTTTTCCTGAACAGCCCTGCTCAACTCTTGCAAACTCAAGTTTGTGGCTTCCTTCATCAAGTCAGTCTATCTCACATTTGGCCTTCCTCTTTTCCTCCTTCCATTCCACCTTTCCCAGCATGAGTGTCTTTTCCAGAGAATCCTGCCTTCGCAGAATGTACCCAAAGAAGGACAGCCTCAGTTTCAACATTATTTTTTTCTTCCAGAGATAGTTCAGGCTCAATTTGTTCTAGGACCCACTTGTTTACGTTTTTAGCACTCCAGGGAACCTGCAAAGCTATCCTCTAACACCAGATGTCAA